CAGGTGCTTACATAAGGACCGGTCCGACCAGACCGGTCCGACCAACAAGACCGCCAAGAATGAGGCTGAAGCAAAGAAGGAAGCCGAGGAAATGTGTTTTACTACTGACTGTCAATCTAGTCGTCTTCGTTCTCACTATCCTCGATATCGCTGTTCCCCTCAGCTTGGGGCTTTCCATACCAGGCCCGGAGACACTCGCACGCTTCTATAATATCTGCCTTCAGCCTACCACGGCGATCGACGATAGTAAGCTTCGCGCTACTAAAAAGACGTTCGCATTCATCCGACATAGGCGAGATCGCAAACATGTCTAGAGCGAAGCGAGCGAGATCTCGTTGGGAGTCGTAGCGAGATAGCCAGTACGCAATAGCCTCATTGCAACCTGCCTCTTCGTTATGAAGCCGGTCAGTAGAGATGTATTGTTCATACAAATCAGTTGTAGAAACTGGAGCGTCTATTCGAATGCGCTTATGTTCCCGCTGGCGATCAAGTACGCAATAGCCTCATTGCAACCTGCCTCTTCGTTATGAAGCCGGTCAGTAGAGATGTATTGTTCATACAAATCAGTTGTAGAAACTGGAGCGTCTATTCGAATGCGCTTATGTTCCCGCTGGCGATCAAATGCTGGGTCAGGATCTCTCTCCTTCCTGGCTGGTGGTGGCAGCATCTCGACAGGGTACCTTCCCTTATACTCTGTCTCCCAGAGATGCTTCACCGCTAATTGTGCGTTTTCAAACCACCTCTTCTTCTCTTCGTCGCCATGAAGAACCCACTCTTGCCTGAACCATCCCCACTTGCGATATGGATCAAGGATTTGAGCCGCATAATATGCCGGTGGAAGGTCAGTATCTTCAGGGAATCGATTTTGCCAATTCAGCTGCTGATTGTTATAGTACTCAACGCACTTTAACCAAGCAGCATCAGCGCAGCCTTGAAGGTACTTCCATGTAAAGTTGTTATCGTCCTCAGTGTGGATGTCGTGGTAGTGATCCTTCGTCTCGCTTATCTCCCGGAGAAGGCAGTCCAAAGTTGAAAACCAGTCCGCAAGTGACGTCTTCTTACCTTCAGAAAGCAAAGTTGCAGCATAGAAGTCTTTGAGAGCGAGTTCAATCTTTTCAAGCTCAAACCAGTGCTGTCCATCAAGCTTAAAGTTCGCGATCCCTACGGAGCCCTTTCCAGGTACATGACGAGCCGAGAAGAGCTCTAAACGTTCTCGAACATTTAATGCACGTGTAATCGAATAAAACCATGAGTTCCAGCGGGTCGAGTTGTTCTGGATAAGCTCAAGCCCGTCGAATTGCGAAAGATCTCCGCCGATAATAATTGTAGCAAACTCCTCACGCCGTTGTGGAGTAAGCCTGATGTATCGCACCAGGTTGTGAAGACGACCCAAACATCCGAACTTCTTCCAGAGCTCTTCCACCTTCGTATAGTCGCCACGTTGATGATGCTTCTCCAGCTTCGCAAGATACTTCTCACAGTTTCGCCCCATAAGGAACGCCTGGCAACAGAGGTTGATGACATGGCCCAAGCAACGCAGCCGGCGATGACGACGTTGTTTTGACTTCATCCATGGGCAGAGATCCTTGAGTATAAACTCAACAGCGGTATCATTTGCCGAGGCATTATCCAGCATAAAGTATCCAATCTGATCTCCGCTAATGTCGTATTCTTCCAGCAATTCAAGGACCACCGATCCAAGATTCTCTCCAGTATGTTCGCCGTATATACGTCGCATACCTAAAGCGGTAACACGTCGCATGCCGGTAGTATCAATCCACATAGCGACGACGCCTAGGATAGCGTAAGGGTTTGGTGAAGTCCAGAGATCAAAGGAGATAGAGATCCTACTCCGTGAATGGTGTAGGTCCTCCCTAAGCTGTTGCTTCTTCGATATGAATGCATTCATTACCCAGCTTCGGATAGTCTTCGCAGCCTTCGGGAGGTGGTTGAGTAGTGCCGGATTTAAAAAGAGGAGTAGTTCACGAAAGTACTGGTTCTCTAATTGAAAGAAGGCGATATGGCAGTACACAATCCAACGAATTAGAAGCTCTTTAAACTTCTCTACTGACTCCTTCTAGAAAAAGGTGCTGGAAGCAGCCCCATCCTTTTGCTGGTCGATTATAGACTTCCGTACAGAACCCTTTCGCTTGATGCCACTCTGGGGATCAATCTGGTGCTTCTGTTCCAGGTGATTCCGGATCCTAGAAGTGCCATTGATGACAAACAACTCTTGCTTGCTCTTCCCAACCCTGCACTCATGGCAGTAATACACCTCTTTCTTATCGCTATCTCGAATGTATTGGAGTCCGTACTTCCAGATGTGTGATGTACCTTGACGGAAATCCTTCCTTGCAATTATTGCACGTTTCACGTACGTGATACCGCCCTGCACGAACTCATCTGGAGATTCGTGATATTGAATAGGAGTGGGTGATAGTATAGGGGTGGGTGATGACGTGGGGATAGGAGTAGACTCCGCAACAATCAATTCAATCCGGTCACTCTCCTAGACCCACTTACCTATCTAGGTAGGGCTTAAACTCCTATAGGTAACTACTAGGCTTAAAGCGGTAATCAATCAATCCAATCTGAACCTTCTAGGACCCACTTAATTGATTGTTGCGGACTGTGGATAGGAGATGGAGTAAGAGACGTTAAATCTAGTCTTATAATATTCGATGGGGACGGTGAGGTTGGTGTTGAAGGCTCCATAACAATAGTATATAAGTAGGTTGTTAAGGACTTGATTGTTCTATGTAAGTAGAAGACTTACCTTGATCTTAATGACTCATATTGTGCTAAATTTTCTGGCTAGATTAGTCTAAGATCTAGTCACGTGGACCTATTTATAGCCGGACCGGTCCGATCATCTAGACCGGTCCGACCACGGTCTCAAAAAATCGCCAGACCAGACCAAGTCTTGGCGGTCTAGACCAGACCAAGACCAAGTCAGACCAGACCATTCCGATCACTGAATCCGGGTCTGGACCTAAACGATCTTCCTGTGAAGAAGCTCCTTCAGAGTATGTCTAGGATGCCGCCAACTAGAAATCTGCTAATGCTTTACCAGAAGCATTTAAAGACCCAGGAGGGTAAGTCAACCAAGCAACGGGTGCACTGTGTGAGCTGATGTGTGAGAAAGGCTGAGTCTGTTCATTAAAGAGCAAGATGTCATGCGTATACAAGAGTGTTGTTTCGATCTAAAAGATCGGCCTATAGATGTTAGTGATATGTCATTGCTAATTGTATCACTGGCTTGGGGAGCCTTGTTAGATCCGGAAGTAAGCTCGGTTTCCAGAGTAGCGCTACTGGATGCTGTGCTTGAAACTTCATCGTTGCTACTTCGCCAGGAAAGTAGTGTCCGTCAGTTCTTGGTATGTTCTTCCGCTCGATGACAACGAAGGTTTTGCTAATTTAAGCCAGGCGCTTGTTGCTGTAGTTCGTAAAAGTCTGATCATCTACAACGAAGCAGTCGGCTAACCTCTCCAGCTCTGTCTTACCGAAAAAACGGGGTCAGACAACCTACCTGCACTCATACTTGGCAGTATTTCGACTGCGGCCTCCTTGAGTCTCCATTTAGAATCCGTCCTACACAAGTTCTGTGTTAGCGACGAACAAGCCGTTCAGACCAAACGAGCTATCTGGCTACTCTACTGTATTGATAAGTCTTATGCATTGAGGTGGCAAACCTTCTCTGTAAGCTCTCACTCTACCTGGTTATCTTAGGCCTATCGGATTAAGGCTAATACAAGGTAAACAGCTGGTTGGTGACGGTTCTCTTCCGACTACGAACCCACCCGACAACGTGCTTCAAAGTGATTTTGCAACTACAACCTCAGAATGGTTGCGGATTCGGTGTCAGTACTCCCAAATTTGTTCGAAAATTCTGCAGCTCCGAGTAGGCGTAGAGAAAGAGCCATCTGAAGATCGTCCTAACAAGGCTGTGGCGTTGTCAATGGCGCTGGAAGAATGGTATAGAGCAACTGGGATTAATCAAATGACGCACTCACTGGACCACAGTGATATCATACGCACCAAGCTCCAGATATCTTACTATTACTCACAGTCCGCAACAATCAATTAAGTGGGTCCTAGAAGGTTCAGATTGGATTGATTGATTACCGCTTTAAGCCTAGTAGTTACCTATAGGAGTTTAAGCCCTACCTAGATAGGTAAGTGGGTCTAGGAGAGTGACCGGATTGAATTGATTGTTGCGGAGTCTACTATTACTACGAGGCTCGGTTTCAGTTACTAAGTATAAGCCTGCTATATCCACAACCCTCTTCTCCAGTAGGGGCTCAGGAGTGTAGAGAACTACTCAAGCGATCAATACGGGAAACACTCACATTTTCTAATACCATACCTTCGGACTACCTACTTCAAGACTGGTATGTGTTGCACGAAACAGCATCTTTCCCAATCCGCTTATACTAAGTACTTATACAATAGCAACCATCTATTTATTAACACACTTGCTTTGTGTTTGCTTGCGCTGGACATTCTCCAGGAGTCGGGTCAGAACTGCGGGAAGGAAAACCGAGCGTTACTTAGCATTGTTGGTGGTTTCTTTGCTAGGGTAGATATCATGTTGCCGCAAAGTTCTATCTTCGAGGAGGTGTCTAACTTGATGGAGATCCTTTTATATTATTAAATCTAAGGTAGTGCAAGAGAATACAATGTTCGCTTACTTTGGTTATCTTTACTTCATAGTATCGTCCACACATTGTTCTGGTCATACCTCACTTGCATCTCAACTAACTTTTCGTATTCTTCACGTGACGCCGTTTTGCATACGAAGGGATAACGCATGGACATCAGGCCTCAATGATTATGGATTTTCAATATACCTAATCAAAATGTCAGATAGCAGGCGATCCAACAGACAGTTGAGTGTCGGTGCCAGCCGACCCGCCTCGATCCTACTGAGGCCTCACTTGCACGAGGCCTTATAGATCTTAAGAGTAGATTGATCGAGGGAAGAATAGAACACAATACAATCAATCATGAACAACCATCGAATCGATTTCATACAATATCTCATCTAATCTGACAATTAATAGTCTCACTGCCTCTATAACGAGAGACAAACTACCAATATGGCAGCAAATCAGGGCTAGAGGGATGCGACAGTCATCCTTACTGACTCAAGCAGTTTGTAACGGGCTGAGCCCTAGATCACATGACTAGGCTGCTAGCCTAGTCGCTTCCTTCCCTTCTGTCCCTTCTGTCCCTTACCTTGCCTCAGCAGCACGTGGACCGTGCGCGAACACAAACAACATGGGGTGGTAGCCCACCTCTCTCACTTTCTCCTTACCTTGACTGTAAATAGCATCTGGACTAGAGAGCTAGAATACAGTTCCTACAGACCGTTCACACAACTGGATCTCCTGGTATCGCAAACTCAAGATGAGAAACACTATAGACCTAAGCCTCAAGAGCACAGTTCGGCGCTAAGCGGCGCCGACCGTACCGGCATGTTAGTTCCATGCAAAATGAAGGCCATAGGATACTCACTGTGTGGACAAAGCAGGATGTAGATGCGGAGTTAAGCGCGGAACCACCGGAAATGCGGAACCGGACGCGGAACCGGACGCGGAACCGGACGCGGAACCGACGAATTACATTTACAGGTACTCCCGCACCACTAATAACTGTCGCATATGTTGACCCTCAAAGTTTTGGGGACTAAAGTAGCCCTTTCAAGACGATTCGCCGCAGCAGCAACAGAAAGGACGTTGCTGTAGTTGCATGAAGAATCGATAGATATCGTCCTTTTGGTGACCTGGAAAAGTTGATGTTCGGTGCGCCTCTGCTAACGTAGGTGACCAGTAGATGAGCCAGCCTAGCCGATGAGCCACCCGAACATCAAAACAAGATAATCGTCCCATCTTGGCTCTACAGCTTCGTTTTTCCTAAAGTTCTAGTGTTTATGGTGGGTCATTACGCGACTTGGGTCATTGCGCGCACAGACACGGTATCTGAAGAACAAGAGCGCATACGCTGCAAGTCCATAAGCGGACGCAGTGAGGATTAGTTTGGATTGAAGTTGCATTCGTCTCGCTGAGGGGCATTTCTCGCTTACGGGCGATGCACGTTATATTTGTAACGGGCTGAGCCCTGGATCACATGACTAGGCTGCTAGCCTAGTCGCTTCCTTCCCTTCTGTCCCTCACCTTGCCTCAGCAGCACGTGGACCGTGCGCGAACACAAACAACATGGGGTGGTAGCCTGCCTCTCTCACCTTCTCCTTATCTTGACTGTAAATAGCATCTGGACTAGATAGCTGGAATACAGTTCCTACAGATCGTTCACACAAGGTACTCTGGACTTACACACCTCCCTCAGGTTCGAGCGTGTGTAGAAGCTAGACTCCGCAACAATCAATTCAATCCGGTCACTCTCCTAGACCCACTTACCTATCTAGGTAGGGCTTAAACTCCTATAGGTAACTACTAGGCTTAAAGCGGTAATCAATCAATCCAATCTGAACCTTCTAGGACCCACTTAATTGATTGTTGCGGACTGTGGTAGAAGCTGACATGATCGGAGACCATCCTCTGCCTTGTGTGGGCAGAACTGCATGAATTGTGGGCTTGTCCTGCTGAAACGCGGTGTTGGTGGACTTCGCTCTATAGGCGTCCCTAATAGTCAGACCTCTCCTAGAGCTAGTATTGTAACCACGTGGATGAAGTCACATGATATTCTATTGTAGCAGGCACTACCCGGTAGGCAAGTGCACTTACCTCTGAGCTGAGAGCTCCTGTACACGAACATCACAACACGATAACAGATAGCAATACAAGCGTTAATCCGGAGCCTCCAATCCGACACTGCACACGCAGTTACAGATAGGAACGTGTCACGGTAGTCGGCAGGCGGGGAGGATAGGTGCACGTGATCGGTATAATTATTATAGTCTACTAGCAGAATAGAAGCAGGATCAAAGACAGGACGTAGCTCAAGGAGCTACGATCGAGATCTTCGGACGAACAGATTTTATCATACGCGAGGCCCGTGCCTCGCGTAGCTAATCAGTAGCTATTAGCTATCGCTCAGCTCACCTACGGCTCCTGATTGGCCCGTTCAGGCCAGCGCCGTGACAGGGGTTGTTTGAACTGCAGGGAGAGACTTTACCCTTTGCTTATCAGCTTTTCACAATAGTTAACTCGATAGGGTTTTCGGGGTGATCTTCTAGGTAGCACGGGAGCCCTTGGCAATCTCTCGAATCCACTTGGTTGTTTTACACTTTTCTTGCTTCGCTGATAATAAGCATCTAAGATCTGGCCGTCAGAAATGCTACTGCTTTGGTTGGTGTGCTTCGCCGAGATCTGCACATGCCCACTAGGTTTAGGGGTAAAGCCTAAGTTCTCTAGCATCCCCTTAGCACTATCCATACTGGATTGGATTTGCAATGTTTCCATGGCTATGTCCTCAAAGGTGCCTTGTTCGAGTGTGCCTTTTGAGCATGGCTGTGCAGTAGCAACATAGGTGTTCGTGAAATTTGTAGCAGGCCAGTCATCCTTTACATTGAGAGGGACCATAGTCCTGCAAAATGCCCCTTGATTTCTGGCGCCATTTTCGATTGATTTGAATTCTGTACATCGCGAAAAAGAATGGTGCAACAACAGGGTACTGTCATCGACTGTTGAGTCGTCGCCACCCTCAGTAGGAATTGCAATTAGGACAATCATTCTGTCTCTACTAGAAGATGGTTAGATAGACTTAGGGTCACTCACCTATCAGGCTACTTACAAATTGTCTAATTCCCTAATGCATTTTGCAGGCTCGGGAGCTGTTTCTCCAAGTAACAGAATCGTGTTTCCAGAATAGACTGACTTGTAAGCCTTATGTACCTTGCGAATCGTTGCTTTTGATTTTGCCCTGATCCAGAGAAAGTTTATCTTTGTAGAGTCGTTATCAGTCTGTGGTTTGTGGCACTGAATTGCGATCCAGAACTGCTTCTTCGCTAAGGATATGCTTGGTCTTAGTTTTTCTGCTAGGCTGCGTAGCTGAAGGTAGTCGGGAGGAGAAGATCCCATCGTGCTGTTAACGAAAACTGAAGACATAATGTTAGTAGACTTTTATACGATTATGCGGAGTGATAGTAATAATGAGATTTTCCTTGTGTTTTAGTATTGGTATGATTTCTCTGTAAACGTAAGCTCAGTGCGAGTCGGACCGAAGTAGGATCGAGTCAGTTCTTGGGCATCGTTGGACAGCCGATGTACCTATCACTACCGAAAACACGACAACAGCGAGAATTTCACTTTTTGGAATTAACGTAGTACAACGCGCGCAAAACGTCCGCTAGAGACGGCTATCGACTAGCCGGCACTCAGAAGTAGAGCCGGCACTCAGAAGTAGCGCCCACTGCTGCTGAGGCGTCATGGCGACACCGTGGCCCCGACGGTCGACCTGGCCGATCCCAATAGACGAGCATGCTACCAACCTCAGCGCTTTCCTTCGCGAGGTGCTATCCTTAATCGAGCGCAACCGAGGCCAGCAGCCTCTGCCGGCAGACATCGTTGGCGACATCATTCGCGGCGCATTGACGTTCGTACTGAAGACGCAGCACTCCCCTGACCTCGGTGGTCTCAGCGACGCGCTCAACGTCGCGCGGACCGAGGCAAGAGCGACAGCAGAAAGCACGGCGCGAACCCTCGACCAAATCAAACAAGAGCTCAAGTCCACCGTAGGACTCGTACAACAGTCCGCAACAAAGATACAACAAAATGGCAACATGGCAGAAGAGGCGAGGGCGGCAGCCAAGGACGCCACAGAGGTGGGTAAAGCGACGCTGGAGATCGCGCGAGAGATCAGGAACAAGAGACCACAAGAGCAGGCGAACGGACCAATGAGCTACGCCGCGGCGGCAGCCAGGGGAGTCCCGCTAGCAGGTACATACAATGCACAAAGTGTCAAACAGCCATCTGCGCAGACGCAGCGTGAGGTCATTATGAATATTAGAGACCCCCTCACCGTACAGAGCCTGAGGGCTATGAATCCTAGCAACCTCAAAATGCATGTCCAGCGTGCCATCGAGCAAAGTGGCAACGAAAACATAGTCAACGTGAAGATCGTCTCATCTAACCAGCTGAAGAGCGGAGACCTGAGCATCAAGACAGCAAGCAGCAGGGAAGTCGAGGCGCTACAACAGTTCGCGGACGACTGGGCCCACCGCATAGGCAGTGGGACTACAGTGCAGATCCCGACGTTCGGCGTCCTCGCACACGGCATACGCACGAGCACGATGGACATGAGCAAGCTTGACGAGATCAGAGCGCAGATACTGCAGGACAACCGACCGTTCATACCCCGGGCCGAGATAAGACACATAGGCTGGCTTACTAGAGATGCTACCACCAAGACGGCAACAACTATCACCATCGAGTTCACCAAACCAGAGGACGCCGACAAGATCATCGACGAGGGTCTGATCTGGCAAGGTGAGGTTTTCCAGTGCGAACGATACGAGCGACAGTGCCGAGTGAAGCAGTGCTTCAAGTGCCAAGATACGGCCACATAGGAACCCAGTGCAAGGCAGCAACAGCATGTGGCCACTGTGCGCAGGAGCACGACACCCGGGACTGCCCATCGAGGGCCGGACAAGCCGTGACTAGAAAATGTGCCGCCTGCCGCGGCGAGCACGAAGCGTGGAGCCGCCAGTGCCCGACCAGGAAGGACGAGATAGCCAAGGCAAGGACCGCGTACGAAATGCGGCCGCGCTACCACCACGTTTCGCAAACAGCCGGACAAAACGTGCAGATTGATATCCCGACGTCTACGATTCAAAGGAGAAGGACTAGTCAGCCAGTGGCAGCTACGCAGCCGATGCAGCCTACCAGCAACCGATCGCAAACCGGACGAGGACAGAAGAGAACTAACGCTGGAACCACTATCGACCCGTTGGATCAGGAAAATCCATCAACGCAAGCAAACGCGAGCCAAAGGCCGCATCGACAGATCATACCTAGCAGGAGAGCTCTAGAATCGACTGGACTCAACACCCGGGCGATACAGAACAACAGCAGTCACCACATGGAGATCGACTCCGACGATGATGCATGAATAAGCACAACACACTAAGCATACTACAGTACAACGTGCACAAATCAAGAAACATGGTGATGGCGAGCATGCTGCGGGACCCCAGGATCCATGAGTACGACATTCTGGCCATCCAGGAGCCATGGAGAAACCCCTTCGCGGCGACGACACACCATCCAGCGAAACGCATCTTCCACCTCTGCTGCCCAGCAGGAAACGAGGCAGGACCCGCCCGGGTATGCTTTTTCATCAACAAGAGATTAGACCACAAGAAGTGGCAGTTCAAGGAGCACAGCAGAGACATCTGCTCGCTTACAGTAGAGTTTGGCGACGATCAACAGGAGGAGCAAAACGTGATCATACACAACATCTGTAACCCAGCGAGGCGCAGCGAGAGTGACAGTACCGTACTGGTGGACGTCCGCACAATACTGCACGACAACCAATCCAGCGAGCAGATCCTGCTCGGTGACTTTAACCTGCACCACCCCATGTGGGGAGGCACAGACGTGAGGCACATCGACCCTGAGTCTGCAGACCTACTGGCGATCATGGAGGACTTCAACCTGGGTAGCACACTACCACCTGGAACCATCACGTACGAAGAAAGAGCCTCACGCACAACCATTGATCTTTGTCTGGTGACCGTGGGGCTGGTCGATCGGGTGGTTCGAAGCCAAGTCGACCGGGACCTCGATCACGACTCCGATCACCTGCCTATCAGCACTGTGATGGATATGAGGATACAGCAACTCGATGCAACACCAAAGCGAGACTGGAAACGATTAGATGAGGCCGTCTATAACAAAGCGCTAAAACAAGCCCTGCCGACACTTCGCAGACCCGCAAATAAGACAGCGCTTGACACGTATGTCCAAGAGATCGTTGGGGCAATTCAAGGGGCCATTGACAAAGCAATACAATACTCACGGCCGTCAGACCGCATCAGGGAAGGTTGGTCGGAAGAGTGCAGGGCAGTGCTCGCAGAAGCAAAGAGACTCAAGAGAGTACACAGCCAGCGTCACACAGGCGAGTCGTGGGAGGCCTATCGTGCGGCAAGAAACCACAAAGCAAGAACGATCAAGAAAGCACTAAGAAACGCTCACAGAAAACAGGTAGAGCAGGCCGCGAAGTCGCCAGAAGCACTGTGGAGACTCGTCAAATGGGCGAAGACGAGAGAGAACCCGGCCCCGGTGGTCACACCTGCCATCCAACACCCAGAGACGCAGCAGGAGGTAACAGATCCGGCGAAGAAAGCAGACATCTTCCGAGACACCTTCTTCCCAGTACCACCGGAGGCAGATCTGGAGGACATAAGAAACGCACACTACGACAATCAAGTGGACATGCCGCCAGTGACAGAGAAAGAGGTCGGAGATGCCATACGGGCAGCGTCACCACTCAAAGCACCAGGTCCAGATGGCATCATTAACAAAGCCCTGCAGGCGGGATCAGCCCAGCTTGCATCTCACCTGACGAGGATCTTCAACCAGAGCCTACACCTAGGATACTGCCCGGCCCACTTTCGCGAGTCGACTACGGTCGTCTTACGCAAGCCGGGCAAAGACGACTACACGGCACCGAAGTCGTACAGGCCCATCGCATTGATGAACACCACAGGCAAAATCATGGACGCAGTCATAGCACGGCGACTCAGCTACCTAGCCGAGACCCATCACGTCCTGCCGCCGACACACATGGGCGGCAGGAAGATGCGCTCGACTGAGCACGCTCTTCATGCCGTGACCCATAAGATATACGAAGCATGGAGCCACAACACTGGACGGGTGGCGAGTCTCTTGCTGCTCGATGTCTCCGGAGCCTTCGATAACGTCTCACACACACGCCTGCTTCACGATCTGCGGAAGAGACGAGTAGACGAGAAAACAGTAAAGTGGATCGCAAGCTTCCTCAGCAACAGACACACAAGCATCGCAATCGACGGCTTCCAGTCGACAGCATACCAGATCAACACGGGTATACCCCAGGGCTCGCCGCTGTCGCCTATCCTCTACCTCTTTTACAACGCCGATCTGATAGATGAATGTAACCAAGCGCCTGACGCCATGTCCACAGGCTACATTGACGACGTCGGCATCCTTGCGTGGGGCCAGGCGACAGAGCAGACATGTGAGACACTGGGCAAGACCCTTGAGAAAGCACAACGATGGGCCAGCACACACGCATCGGTCTTCGCCCCAAACAAGTTCCAGCTCACCCACTTTACAAGGTCACGCAAGCGCATTAACACGGAAGCCTCAATTCATACTGAGTGGGGCGAGATACGGCCTGAAGCAACATGCAAATACCTTGGCTTGACGATGGACGCGAAACTGCACTGGAAGCAACACACCGAGGAGATCAGGCGGAAAGCGACGAAGACAGTGAATGCGCTCAGCTGTCTGGGAGGATCCAACTGGGGCGCTAGCCTCCACGACCTGCGGCGAATATACGAAGGCACAGTGCTCCCGCAGATGATGTATGCATGCTCAGTGTGGTCAAACGCTAGCATGAAAGGAAACTCTACACTAAGAGGACGCTCAACACACTGCAGAGCATACAAGCAAGAGCAGCCAGGGTCATCAGCGGGGCATACAAAGCTACATCAAGAGCAGCACTAGACGTAGAGACATTTCTCCTTCCCATCCAGCAGCAAATATGGAAACACAAAGCAAACACTGTCGTCCGCCTACTCTCGAGCAAGAACATTGCAGCCACCTCAGGATTTCAGACAAACACAGCACAGCCGACAGTCGCAGACAAGACTCGCAGACACACCAGCTCCTGGCGGAAAGTTTACAACGACATAACGAACATGCGAACCCAAGACTTCCACAGGCAAGAGCAGATTCCGTGCTTCCTTACGCCGCCCTGGAGACAGGGCCCAACCACTTACATTGATGCGACCGCTCAGGAAGCGCGGGCGCGACACGACAAAGAATACGTAAAGGAAGACAGCCTTAGCATCTACACAGATGGCAGCGGCATCGAAGGCGAGATAGGCTCTGCGGCGCTGTGTCCGCTCACACAACAGGCGCGATCCGTACACATGGGTTCAGACACAGAGTCGACGGTATATGCAGCAGAACTACAAGGCATCAGCTTAGCACTGCAGATCGCTCAAGAGTATGCGAGCCGAAACGGTGCGCGACGAGACGTCGCCATATACACAGACAACCAGGCCGCCGTCTGGTCCATCGCTAAGGCGGAGGGACGATCAGGCGCCTACATCCTCGCGGACATCGCGCGACAGGTCCGGGAGCTCCAGGACAACGGACGGACAGTGACCGTCTGATGGATACCGGCCCACGTCGGCATACCCGGGAACGAGGCCGTCGACAAAGCGGCCAAGGAAGCCACCGGATGGAGAGAAGACGGCCGCAGAAGCTTGCCGGCAGACGCGCCCCCCCAGCTGTTCACTATAAGGTCGACTGTGAAAAGATGGTGCAGCATACAAGCCGAACGGGCATGGATAGCAAAGTGGTGCAAGGACACCAAGGGCCGAGCAACCTACAGACACACTCCAACGCCCACCAAGAAAGTACTCCGGCTCCACGAGGGGCTCACTAAGCGGGAGAGCGCGCTGCTGGCGCAGCTGCGGACAGAGAAGATCGGACTCAACGACTTTCTCTTCGCCCGAAGAGTGCCAGACGTCACTAGCCCGCGCTGCGACTGCGGAGCGAGACGACAGACCGTCGCACATATCCTTCTCCACTGCAGCAAGCGCAGGCATCTCCGGGACCGTATCTTCGCCAACCTGTCCGGACGAGACAATATCCGGACCATCCTAGGCACGCCACAGCTAGCCACCAAAGTCATCGGGTATGTAGAGCAGACGCAGATCCTTGGGCAAAATGGGGATCGTAGACGCGCAGACGACAGCCGAGCGCTGGGGGGAGACTGAAGGTATTGCAGACGCAGAACACGAGGCAACCGTGCCTCTACGAGCCTAGAAGTACAGTGTTCAGTTAGTAGAGTCACTATCTAGATGAGGTGGCAGCCAAACGTAGGTAGTGATGAGAGGGAAACGGCAGGCCTCTGGGGACAGATGGTTCTTTGGAATGAAGTGAGATGCCTGTAGAGTTGGCTCATCTCGCTGAGGGGTGTTTCTCGCTTACGGGCGATGCACGTTATGAGAGTACGCTCTAACTTACCGCAACACGTTTGATCGATGAAAAGCAGAGATGTCAACAAGCAAGTCAAGCTGGCTTGATTCTTATCGATTGCAGATCACAGACAATATAGAGGCTCGTGCACAGTGGCACGTCCCAGAGAATGGTCTGTGATCTGCAATCGATAAGAATCAAGCCAGCTTGACTTGCTTGTTGACATCTCTGGCTGCAGCAGGCCCACCACCATCTCAATCACGACACGGCTGAGCTATCAAGCTCCCAGCAATATATAGATAGCTATATATATTGATCAAGGCCTATAGAACTTTACTCTAAAGCATATCGCGATTATAGCTATCGCGCGAGGCTCAATAGCTTCATGTTGTGCTGTCGATTTTGGGGTTCCGAGCGGGCGTTACGCCGTCACGCACGGTAAGGTAAAGGCGGCGGACCTTGCGCTTCCAGTATGGGCGAAAGCTGCAAAGGTTAAACCCGGGCTCATGACCTGATGGAAAGTACGGTAAAGAAGTCCATGTAGTGTGAGGTACTTGTCGAATTGTGTGTGCTACGGTACGGAAAGAGCATATAGAGATGGAAACCGGCTAAGCCCAAACAGGCTAGATAGCCAAGTACACGCTCCAAGGAGCAGGGACGTCGGGGCTATCGAACACTATGTATTAATCACACGCGTTCGGAAGACTACAATCGCTTGATCTCAAAGTACTTGCCGTCCGTCTCGCGACGGGGTGCGTCTCGTGACTTAGGGATGGACGTTAAACTTCAACCGATCTTCCACCGGTCCGAAGGACCAACCGAAGTCGTTCTGCAAATTCCCTCGGTTGGAGCAACATCCGGCGCAACCCCACAAACGTGTCTATGCTTACTTGATAGTGTCTTTGAATGGCTTACGTGGCTGGCTACTAACTATGCAATTAGTTATATTCTTTGGCTACCTAGCTAGGGCCCGTTAACGAACCAACAGTCTGCCGTTCATTTTCAACATTTTCACATGTCTCCTCAAAGCATGAGTAACAACGCCTTGATGCGCTGGGCACAGTCTGTATCTCTTGCTACTGCTACTCTTGTCCAATCACTGGAGCCTAACGATGTACAACTTGGGACACCGATTGCCTCTGAGAAAGTCCAAGAGCATAGTCGCGATAGCAGCATTGAACAACGTTTTAATCTCGAGCGTACACGGTATTTGTTCCTATGAGGATACATTGGTATTGGCTTCTCATAGGTCATTACAGATCCGATCTTGAAGAGATGCGAGACAAACACGATTATCTTGATACGCCACTACAAGACAACGACAGACACTCGAATACCTCAGAGTCGCAACCTAGCCCATCGAATGATCACGCCAGGGCAAGGGACTTTGTGGGAAAACGACTTCCTTGGAAGATTCAAGATTTACGTGAATGTCGACAGAATTACCATGCAGAGCACAAGGGCGGTGGCTCGGACCGCATCTGGAAGAGCTACCGGGGCGACTACCGGGGCGGCTACCGGGGCGGCTACCGGGGCGGCTACCGGGGCGGCTACCGGGGCGGCTACTGGAGCGGCTACCGGGGCGGCTACTGGGGTGGCTACCAAAAAACTTACGGCGGAAGCTCTCGCCACAGCTTCCTAGACGCTGACTCGGGTGATCCTGAAAAACGGAATCAAGTTACGGATCAAATTCCTCACCAAGGTGCGCCTCGAAACGAGAACAACTATGGATCAGATTGGGAACCCTCTTCTTAAGAATGATAATATCAGATTTCTACCTGCCTTCTGATCAACCAACCTTACCGGGTATCGCGCCAATCTGGTCGATATTTTTAATTGGTGGAAAACGGGGGTTACATATCTTCAGGCAGCAAGAAATAGATCACAGCATGCATATGTAACATGCTTTCCTAATTATGTGGCGGAAAACCCGGTGAGCTGGAATCAGCCAATCAAACACAGCAAAGAGCCGGAATATCTGCTAACCCTGCGCTTTCATTGGCTCATTCCGGCCCGCCAGGATTTTCGCTACAAGTGAGGTACGCTATCCTCACAAGTAGTTCAATTTTTGTAAACCCAGGGTACCTTGTATGGCCACGTGGATTATCTACCGGCCAATCAGCCTACTACTCTAACTTATGTATATAAGCCTTCAGACCTCTCAGTCATCAGAACACAGATCATAACACTTCACAGTACACATCATATCCTATGACGGTTATGAGGAGAAGCAGATCGCGTGTTGGTGGTCTGGTGCTGCTTCCTCGCTTTATTGAGCACCTCTTACCTCAGATGCATCACGGATACGTCATGTTAACAGACCCTGCTGTTGCTTCTTAAAGGAGCACAGCACGAACAACAGAACAACAGAACGTAGTTAACAAGCGAGCGGGCCATAACTTAACGTGGTGATCGGCGTGGCGCTCGGCAAAACACCAGAACACCAAAGCGACGCCAACTTCAACACGCGACAACTCAACCAATATGAACCCAATAGAGCTTGCAGTTAAAGCGATAGAAGGGCAGGGTGAAGGAGAACAACTTTCATATACGAAGGTTGCTGAACAGTACAACGTGCGCAGACACATACTGGCTAGAAGATGCAAAGGCACCCAAGCCCCCATGCAAGCCAAAGCAATCAACCAGCGCAAACTCAACCCACAACAAGAGGAGCTCATCAAGCACGTGGACAAACTCAGAGTAAGAGGCCTTTCACCTACAAGAGAGAATCTGAGAAAATTTGCTTCAGGGATAGCTCAAGAGGAGGTGGAAAAGCAGTGGGTTTGTAACGGGCACAGATGTCAATGAGCAAGCTGAGCGAGCTCAGCCAATTGGCTTGCTCAGCCAATTGAGCGGAGGCCAGCAGCTCGCTCGGCTCGCTCGGATTGGCTGAAACAGGGCTGTCAGCTCGCTCGGCTTGATGGGCTCAGTCCCGATTAGGAAAGTTATATAGAAACCTTGGTGTTGAGTTTCTCAGCTAATATCCCACTTATGTACACCGTATTTCGCGTCCATCTCCTCATCGCTGATAGCCTCCTTTACAGGCACCTCACCACTGCCAAATCCAGCTCTTACCCATCGTCGATCGCACTGTATTGCTGCTAGAAGTTGCGGAGAAATGCTGCGCCGACGGGGCTCGAGGAGGTCACCCAGCTCGCTGAATAAGCGCTCACACTCACAGCTTGAGCCTGGGATTGATAGCATGTCGATAGCAAATTTGCTAAGGCTGGGGTAGCGATCGCGGAGTTCTACCCAGTATTTTATAGGGTCGACGCCCTCGCTAGCGATCGGTTCGCTGCGTTTCCAAGCCTCATATTCATCCTCCTCGTTCTCCGTAAGCCCTGCAGGCTCAATAAAGCTGTTGATAGCGTCGTCTATATCATTGTGCCTGACTTTGGGGCGTAAGCGCGGCTTCGGTAAGCTTTTGTACTCCGCCCACAAATGTTGAAACTTGCGGTTGCTGCTCTCTAGCCAATCAGGCTTATCCGCCCACGCTGCGTCAAGGTAGCTTTTGTAGCGAGGATGAAGGATTGTAGCAGCATAGTAAGCTGGCGAGAGGTCGAGCTTGTTGTAGTACTCGCGGGCTTTAACTAGGGCAGCGCGGAGGTTGATAGCAAGGTGGTCTTCGGGCAGAGATGTCAACAAGCAAGTCAAGCTGGCTTGATTCTTATCGATTGCAGATCACAGACAATATAGAGGCTCGTGCACAGTGGCACGTCCCAGAGAATGGTCTGTGATCTGCAATCGATAAGAATCAAGCCAGCTTGACTTGCTTGTTGACATCTCTGTCTTCGGGTGACTCTGTATGCTCATCGTGAATGACGTCTTCATAGCTTTGCAAGCGGTCCTCATAGACTCCAAGTAAGTATTCAAATACTGGAATAACCTCAGCGATTGCTCCAAAAGCACCGCTTTTGCCGCGGCCTTCAAGCCGTTTTGTAGCTTGTTTCAGTGGCCTGAGCACATCAATATACTCAGCAATCACCTGCCAGTCATGGGCATTGATCCCATCAGACCTCATCCAATCCGGCGCTGCAGGCAGCTTGTTGTTACGACTTCGGGCGTACGCGTCTTCAGTTTCAATCTTCTGAATATGGTAGTTGGCGTACCCATTAACCGCTAATTGCAACTCAACAGCGCGCTCAAAACACGAAACGTAAGAGTTCCAGCGAGTAACAACTGGCTTGACGGGCTCCTTGATTTTGTGCTGTTCTGTTGGCGCGTTGACAGGCTGGTCCCTAATAGCGAGCTTCTGATACTTCTCAAAAAGAGCGTACTGTTGTGGTGTTTTGATGTAGTTGATAACCGCGAGAAGCACTCCTAATGGTCCATCGCCTCGCCAAGTAGCCATGTTCTCAGCTTCGTTCACGCGCTCAGTCTCCTCGTTGTCGTAGGACTCTTTCTCCTCACCCCAGAGTAGCATCTGGCCAATGAGATTAAGCGTATGAGGACCGCAGCGAAGGCGACGCTCAGTAGCGCTGAAGCCCATCTGCAAGGCGAGAGTGTTGATCGTGGTGTTGTTGTTATGTGCGTTGTCGAGGACGAAGTAACCGAGCTTGCCCACAGTGATTTCGAACTGCTTGAATATTGCCATCACGACCTCAGCCATAGCCTCGCCGGTGTGGGCACCTGTCAGTTGTGGGAGCGCAATAGGCAAGTCCCTGAGCTCGCCAGAGCTATCAACGTAGTGGGCGACGATACCTAAGTAACCGCGCTTGCCACCTTTTGTCGTCCATCCGTCAAAGCTTATATGGACTTTGCTCATTGATTCTGAAAGGCTTGCGACAACCTTTAGTAACAGGTAGTTGTACAGGCGTATAACGTATCGTGAGACGCTGTTATAAGATGCCCACAGGGCTCGTTCTGCCTCTACGCTAGCTAATTGTATCATATTGCGAAAAGACGATGATTCGAATTGTGAGAGTGGGAGGTTGTTTTCGACGAGCCAGGTGACGGCCGCAAGCCTAAACTCTTGTATATTGAAGTTGGTAAGCTCGTTGGCAACAGCCTGAGAGCAGCCCTTCTGAAGGGCGCGTTCGAGGAGAGTTTCTTTCCGAGGAGCGACGGTAGTGCGCTTACTTGGAGGCTTCAAGCCATGACCTTTCTTGTCTTCTCCGAGATGACGTGCTGGCGCTGATGGAGACTGCGAGACGTCATGTATGCCACGGCCAACAGTAGTGAACTTGTGCTTATAGCAATAGTGGCAGATCCACGTGACTTTTGCGACGTTGCTGCGCAAGGCGATGCGATAGCCATGGCTGTATACCCAGCTTGCTCGGTTCGAAAGTGATGTGGGCGGCTTGCAGTGCTTTGGGTAGCGACTCCAATTAAAGCCGTCGTATTTGTCCTCTACCCATACGAAACCCTCGTCGACAGCCTCGCTAGCTGCTCCTGAAGCTGCAACAGTGGCATGCTCGCTGCCCTCAGGTGGTGGGATGATTGTCTCTTCGGCGCGCGACTCTCGGAGGGTCGCTTCAAAATTTGGTGCTTGTGGCGCGGCGACGAGAGCTTGACGCGGCGACAGCGGTGGAGGAGGTGGAGATGGTGAGAATGGCCGAGTATCGACTAGCACAGGTTGGCTGGCAGTCCCGCGATGACGCGCTGCGACTCTAGGGCGCTTCGAAGTTGTCGCGATTTCTAGAGCATTAACGCGTGTTCTTTTTGCTGGCATTATAGCAACGGCGAGGTAGATAATAGCTGCAAATAGAGACGCGTTGATGGAGTATAGGTGAGTGTGGTGGGTGATAAGTAGTAAGTGAAGTGTCGCAGAAGGAGAATATTGTTGCCAGGCCGTTAGCCGGAAATTTAGTAGCTTATTTGCTAGAAATATAGCAAAAAAGAGTGTATTTTAGGTTATAACTAGGTTTCGAACTTACGCACTACACCTAAAAATCATCGTGAGATTGCCCCTCCACCAAGTCCTTCAGCCCCAAGTTTCCAACCGCCCCATCCAACCAAGCTAAGCAAGCTGACTGAGCGAGCGCCTATCCCTAAGCTCGCTCGGCTTGCAAGCGCGCACTGCGCGCTCAGCTCATTCGGCTTGGTCAAAACGTCCAAGCCGAGCGAGCTGAGCGAGCCGGCTCGCTCGTTGACAAGTATGGCACAGATGTCAATGAGCAAGCTGAGCGAGCTCAGCCAATTGGCTTGCTCAGCCAATTGAGCGGAGGCCAGCAGCTCGCTCGGCTCGCTCGGATTGGCTGAAACAGGGCTGTCAGCTCGCTCGGCTTGATGGGCTCAGTCCCGATTAGGAAAGTTATATAGAAACCTTGGTGTTGAGTTTCTCAGCTAATATCCCACTTATGTACACCGTATTTCGCGTCCATCTCCTCATCGCTGATAACCCCCTTTACAGGCACCTCACCACTGCCAAATCCAGCTCTTATCCATCGTCGATCGCACTGTATTGCTGCTAGAAGTTGCGGAGAAATGCTGCGCCGACGGGGCTCGAGGAGGTCACCCAGCTCGCTGAATAAGCGCTCACACTCACAGCTTGAGCCTGGGATTGATAGCATGTCGATAGCAAATTTGCTAAGGCTGGGGTAGCGATCGCGGAGTCCTACCCAGTATTTTATAGGGTCGACGCCCTCGCTAGCGATCGGTTCGCTGCGTTTCCAAGCCTCATATTCATCCTCCTCGTTCTCCGTAAGCCCTGCAGGCTCAATAAAGCTGTTGATAGCGTCGTCTATATCATTGTGCCTGACTTTGGGGCGTAAGCGCGGCTTCGGTAAGCTTTTGTACTCCGCCCACAAATGTTGAAACTTGCGGTTGCTGCTCTCTAGCCAATCAGGCTTATCCGCCCACGCTGCGTCAAGGTAGCTTTTGTAGCGAGGATGAAGGATTGTAGCAGCATAGTAAGCTGGCGAGAGGTCGAGCTTGTTGTAGTACTCGCGGGCTTTAACTAGGGCAGCGCGGAGGTTGATAGCAAGGTGGTCTTCGGGTGACTCTGTATGCTCATCGTGAATGACGTCTTCATAGCTTTGCAAGCGGTCCTCATAGACTCCAAGTAAGTATTCAAATACTGGAATAACCTCAGCGATTGCTCCAAAAGCAC